GACGTCAAAATTTTCGTTTTTATTCCCTCGGTACGGCGTCGAAATTCGGGCTTTTCTTCGGCCCTCGCGGGAGAATCTTTTTTTATTGCAAGCGTTTATGGGTATTTTAGGGTCCGCCGGGGCGCCAAAGTCGGCAAGCCGGAGGAAAGAAAACAAACGGTCTTCTCTGTAATGATTTTTCGGTTTCTTTTGTACGGCTTTTATACTCCCGGCAAACAATTCTGTGTTCTTACCGTCGTGAATAGGACCTGCCGGATTTGTCGGACATTTTCGGCAAAAATTGTAGACTCACGGTGTATTTAACGAATTAGGATCGTGAACGAACAACGGAGGAACGTTTTGGTCTCGGGCTTTTACTCTTGACGCTCAAAACGATAAATTTTTCTTTTTTTTTGCGGCAAGGAATGTTGTTCAATTTCCACGTAACTCTTTGTACGTTTGCTGGATGAATATTTAGTTACAACCGTATAATTTTGTTGAATAATTCTGCTGTTCGAATGCTTTTGTTGTCCACTGTGTACCGTTCTCGCCACAAAAAAGGAAAATAAATTGGCGGTTAATTAGCCAGTATACCAGCAATACCTTGTTACTTCGCACGGACTCGACCGAATCGTAAAATTCGCGGGAATCCATAAATTCCGCGAGACTGCAGCGACGAAACAGACCCCCGCTAACGAGACAACGTTTATTGTAAATCAAAAAGATAATTACGTTAAGAGTCGCTAAGCCGGCTCATTAGGTCGCAAAATAACATGTCGCGTCGTTTTTTACCCAACCCCTCCCCACCCTCTGTCTAAAAAAGATCCCCAAGGCTATCTACTCGAGAGACAGAGGAAAGGCCGGCATAGAAAACAATTTGGACGCTGGATTCGAGTTCGCCGCCTTAATTAGTTCCACCATGGAGATTACCAATCAACAATTTGGGAATTACGACACGCTGCGAATCCCAAATTGCCCCTCGATCTTCTCTGTTTAGAGGTAATTGGTTCCTTTCTCGTGAACTAGAATTAGCAAATGCCAATTACCACGATGATCCGTGTCTACATACTTTTGTGCTTCGATTTGCAACGTTAGCTCGAATTTACCCATTCTTAATGCTGCAAAGTGGTACCGCGAAGACGATCTAATAAATCATAAAGGACAAAAATTTCGATTAAAAGGGTTCTCCGAGCATGCAAGCAAAACAGCCGTTCGTGAGACAACGTAATAGCATAATAAAATAACTGACGCTCGACCGACCACGAAAAGTTCCCTAAAAAGCGTTCCACGAGACTCGTCCAAGATGAAAGCCAACGCAACCGTGAAGGGTGCACCCCTCCTTCTTTCTACCAAACACGATGCAATTTTGTGTGTGTGCAAGTCGAAGAAATTTTGTTCGCCCCTCGAATCGATCTTGGAACCACGAGACCAGAATGAAACTGTTAAATCTATTACGCGTTCGAAGCTCGATCGTGATCATGGGCCCGAGGAAAAAGGTACGCGATGAAAGGTGAAGGAAGAAAGGAGACTCGAGCGAGATAAAGATGGCGAAGAGACCGGGGATCGTAAGGAAGAAGGACGGGGGAACGTTTCGTAGGCTCGGTGGGCCAGGTCGCAGGTAGACAACGGACCCTCAAATCGCTCAAAAAAATGAGAGGCCACGCGGTATACTTCTGGGCCGACGTGTAACGTCCCCTTGGATTCAGATAACCATTCACGGTGTCCTGTTGGTCTATGGTCGGGTCCAGCAAGAAAAGGATTCGTGGATGGAAATCGCGATTACGACCGACCGATCCTGACGATTCCATTCTGTGACGATGTTGTAATATCAACGATCAGAAACAGACAAACTTTATTCGACGTGAAATATGATTTTCGTTTTATTCATATCAAAGTAGGAGATTAAACGTCGGTTTTCTTTTATTCGTTATTTTATACCTCGATAAAAGGAACTTATCCACTTTTAGTGGTTCTCAGAGAAACAGGGTTAAGGATTCGTTGGTACTTAAAAATTGTATAAATAATCTTGTGAATTATATTCTCATCTCGCGTATTTGATATAACTGTACTTTAAGTACTCTACATATTTAATTGGTAATACAAGTCAGATTTACTCGGAAGATAGACGTGAAAGTCAAGTATAAAAGAGGACGTACCGAAGACAGTTCTTATCTTTCAAGCGATACGAGAAAATATAATTTTTCCAGATAATTCGCGACCAACCTAAAGCGGTCAAGTCAGACTCGCATTGTATTTACCTAGGACTTTCGGACGCGTCGTTTCAAATGCTTTTCAGATTTGTTATCCGTTGGCAAACATTTGATCCTGGCGATTATCCACAAAATCGTTCTTTACACCTCCCTGGGAAGACGGAACAATAATCCGAAAGAGGTAAACGAAGCGTGGACAGTGAATCACGGGCTCAGTCTGTTCGCAACGATGCGTTTGAGATAACGTTAATCCTGATTAAGCGAACGACGTCTGGGACGACGCTGAGGAATCCTGAACTCGTCTAGTTCCTGACGAAGAGATACCCAGAGAGTCGCGGACGCGTTTCGAGGATGCTTCGAGGGACGTTCACAATCTTAATTGAATCGGACGCGTGTTCGAAGAACTTCACGAAGAGCGCGTAAGAGGATTGCGAGCTTATCAACGGGTACAGTAATTTCTTTCATCGTGTCACCGACGTGGGATCTTCGACGTACTCGAACGAGGGGAAGCGAATTCAAATCGTTCTTATTTCTACTCGAACGGCCCTCGATTGAAATTTAACTCTTGGTCGCCCATTAACCACCGTCCAGAGATAATCGTCGAAAGAATTTTGGTGGTTTCGTAGCGCCCAATCTGTCCAGGAAATGTTCGTTCGAACCCATGAATGCTAAGTGGATCGCACACGGTTCCCCGTTTCACTTTACGCGCGTTGCATCGTGAAACTCGTCACGTTCTATAATAATAGATGCAAGGTCAGGCGATGCGTCCGCGCCAGAAACCTAGGTCGAACGAGCAGGAATAATAAAGCAGAAGGGAGGCGTCTTCGTGGAAGTTCCTTATCTCGGGGACGTTCATCTTCCACCCCGGAGCGGGGCCAGCGAAACAAAGACACTTAATATGTCTGGACACGTTATCGGAATATTAATATCCTTCCCTCTGTTGGCGGCTCCCTCGCCGAAGGAACACCCTGGTGACAATCGATCGTCCGAGGTGGAAACGTGGAACGAGAAAAATCGGCGTGCCACTTTGAATGTAAGGGGACACTTCCTGATGCTCGCCGGCGATAATTCTTCCCGACGTCGTGCGTCGTCGCTTCGGGAAGACGTCTCCTGGCTAGAGACGAGTCTTCAAATTTCAGTTTGTTTCACCACTGATCCATCCTCCGTGTCCTGTTTTATTTTCAAACTACAACACGAGCTGTTTCCGTCCGTCCGGACCCCGTGCATTATTCAAACTCGAAAGCTACTCGATTCATCTACTTTCTTCGGGCTTCCCCATCAATGATATTTTAAATTATTTCCAACTTGTTGCATACCGTTCTTCAGTTTCTCGTATGGACATAGTAAGCCATTGAACATGGGATTCCCCCGATCCGTGGCAACGAAAACGGCTCCTAGAGTTCGATCGATGCACTTTCCTCTGACGCTTCGGGCGATTCGGGCCGAAATTCACGGAATCCCGTTTTTTATCATCGTGCCAGCGATGAAAAGGTGAAGTCATGCAACTCGAGCTCGGCTGGTCGGCATCGTGGCATCTGCGTCAAAGAAAATTCATTGGCCCAGCAAAGGGCTTTTTAAGGACTCGCTGGGCGCACGACCCTCCGCTTTAATGTTGATTTTTTGACTTAACGCGACCGTGTCTAGCCCGGCTACCGTTCTCCTTTGCATCCTTATGAGGATTTCCATCCAGCTGCACGTGTGTCAACATCTTTCATCAGTCGTATCGCGATACATATGATAAATTATTTATAAACAGGGCCACGAGGATCTATCGAGACGTGGTCCGTTTACCGTTCCTTACAAACTGTGTTTGTTTTCCCTGTCCTTTGTCAGAACACGGAAGAAAGACCGAAGCATAATAGCACAATCTCAGAGACGGACAAAATTCTTATCTGTGAAAGTCTTATAGAAAATTTACAAGATTGAATCAGACAAATGCAAGGACCTTGTTTAAAGACTTTTCCATCTGCATACTGTGATATACTTAGGGCATACTCGTCCTACAACCTATTATTCTAAGACTTTTGCTTAACGATCTCCTCGGAGAGTACCGAGAGACTTCAATGCGTGTGCCTCCGTCGCGGGAGACTTCAATGCGTGGACGTTCGTCGCGAGAGATTTCAATGCGTCATATTCATTACCATTTTACGTACAGGTATCTCCCCAGTAGAAAATCTAGTAGTCAGGTCCCAAAAAATGAACAAAACTATTCTTTCCGTACCTTAAAAAGTATGTTTACTGAAACGATCGATGATCGAAAGTATCACGCGTTAATATTACAGAATATTGTCTTCTCCGTTGCTAAAATATAAATCTGTTATTCGCAAAACAAGATCATTTCTAACACGAGAATTAACATTTCGATAGATCTACGGCGAGATGGATCACTAGATTCACCGCGAAAATCTGTTCGAAGAATTATAATACGGTTTGCACGATCGAACGTGAACGCGAGACGGAAGAACAAGGTTTACCGTTATTAGTTACTGTAACAATTCCCCTGTGAACGGGTCAGATATTTGGTAACTCTTACTTAAGTAACGAAGTCCTCAGCTATATTCTAATCAGTACTTTTACGTGCAACTGAAATACACAGATATCTGCGTAATTGCAAATGCCGTTATCGTTCGTTTGTCCGTGCTCGAGCACTTTTCTAGACTCGCGGACCGGCCGAGTCTCATCCACGAAATAATCACGACTTCGAGCAAATGTTTCTCGAGCAGGATCGCCAGATTCGCGCCGATCAACGATACCACGATCCACGATCGGCGTACGTACATAGTCCCTTATGGTCCAACACGTATGACCGAGTTAATTCTCGCGGACAGCGGTTAATTGGATATTCGGAACGACGCCGAACTTTGAGGCGAAATCCAGCGTGGTCAGAGACGACGGCTGCCTGCTGGCCTCGTTGTTATTCGTCGAGTTCGCTTGTTCCGTGGTCTTGTCTTTCGGCCGATCTGCCACCTCGACCGACGTGTTCTCCTCCCTTTCCAGGTCCACGTAATAAACGTACCTCGCCGCGTAGCAGAGCAGCAGCATCTCGATTAGCATCAGGGCATTGTAGGTAACTGAAATCGGACAGGGGAAAGTTGACAGTGCGTGTTCTCTTTATCTCCGAGCGTATGGAAATGTTATCCGGCTCTAGCCAACTTGAAAAGACAGGTCGAGGCGGACAACTTTTTTTCATAATTTACGCGATTCCTTGCTCAAAGATCGAACAGTCTTTGAAAAGGGCATGGAAAACTTAAAGACTCAACGAAATAATTTCGCGTATGTATATTCATGACTCGTCGTACGCAAAGTGCGAGGAGATACAAAGGACCCGACGTCCACTTATTATATTTTTCTTCGAGTTGAGGTGAAAGGATTACCATTTGCATAGATTAGTGGCGTGATCGGCGGATTGCACGGGAACAGGCCCGTTAGCGGCAGAGCCCTCACAATTGCCGCCTGTAGCTTCGAAAACAACAGCACCAGTTGGGACACTATGGCCTTGCGGGGAAGTTTGGCCTCTGCAAAAATGACCGCGGGTCAGAAGCGTGTATATCCATTAACGCAACGGGGGCGAGGGACAACGGGGGCTTTCCAGAACCTTGGAAATTGCTTCCTGTCGCGCGTTGCTTGTGTGGTCCCTCGCAGTATAATTGCTACGCGTTTAGCTGACGGGATTCGGTTCCCCTTCCTGTTTCCCTTCCGAGCGGACGTTTTTCTCGTTTACGCGAACACAAATTCTCGAGTTTTCTGGCGTCCATCGAAGCATTTTATTTCACAAAATAGATAAAAAATTTATCAAGAAGACAAGTATCTTTGGAATTTTGAGAATCGAATAACTTGGGGCGAAAAATCGATTCCAGACGAATTCCAATCGCATTATTGGCATAAGCCCTCAGCGTGGCTGTCGAAGGACTACCGGCTATGGCCGAGGGAAACGCAGAAAATTGCTTTGCGGTCGCGTGTTTGGAATAATTTGGTACGTCGGGGCGCGGATAGCAGGAACAGATTATACGAGCAGATCCTTCCTCTTAATTAAGCATACGCGATTTTTACCTGGAGCGACTCTCTGCAGACTCTTCAGGGTAATGGTCAGACCGTATATTCCGAGAAAGATGCTGGCCACACACAACGGTTGGAGATACAAAGAGTATTGTTTCACGATGAGCGGGTCCTCGATCGACATGAACAGCAACGTGCAGAAAGTCAAGCCCTGAAATCGATCAGAATTAAATATAGAAAATGACAGAAAAACTGGCAATGCGTGTTGGAATTAGATGAACGGAAAAAGGCGGTTTTCCATCAAAGGGAGGGGGCTCTCTCGGAGTTAACGAGCGAAAAACACTTTCTACGCTGCAAGCAGGGGTCGAGGAAGCCAAAGTGGAAAAGAAGAAATAACCTGGATAATGGGAAGTTGCAGGACTACCAGCCTGAGCCAGGACAAATTGGCCTCGGTCATTTCAAGATCCGGAAAGGGCAGACAGGGCCAGCAGCAACACGGTCCGACTTTCAGCATTAATGGCGGCGACTTCGTGACCTTTTTTAGGCCTATGTGGACGAGTAGAAGATAAAGCCGGTACAGGGCTATAGTTAGAAAGATTTGAATCACCGTATCCGACAGCAACTGGGTCCTAGAAACGATCGAAGTAAAATGTCAGTACAGTTCCATCCAAGGATCGATCAAATTAAATATTTTGAAAAAGAAGCGCTCGAAACGTGGATGGAATTTTCGTGTCACTGTCTCGCCGTCGTCCCTGCTATCTGGGAAACCGATCAAAAATTTTGGACATCGGAAACGCAGGTGTGACACGGTCCAAAGGCCGAGATTATCGCGGGAAATCAAGATCATTAGTCGCGCTGGGCAGAGTTTCGTCGTGTATTTTCAGCGTCGTTAAAAACTGTCGCAAAGGGGTCCTTTGTCTCGTCTCGCCTTTTCCACCGTTCCCTAAGTGGATTTTCTGGTCGCTATTTTTCTGGTCTTTAACATTCACCTTCGAGTTTTATCACGTAACGTTATTCAATGTTTCCGCGTGAAACCTTGAAACTTTATTAACCGCGACTGTTTGTTAAAAAAAAAACTAAAACTGTTTTAACAATGATCTATATGCGAGACGTTGAAGTATGTTTTAATTGCACGGTGAACACAGGAATTTTCCGATTCCTGATGCTTGGATTCGTGAATTATGGGGCTCGAAATCGTTACCTTGGTATTCCCATAGCTGTTAGACAACAGACACTGACAACTGGATATACAGAGAGGATCATGATGCTGTTGGTCTTGTAAAAGTTCGACTCCTTTTGGTAGAAGATATTGTGGCAAGCGTCCACAGCAAAGTATAATGTCAGAGTCGAGAGTATCGCTCCGAAACTCAATAATCCTACACCAAACGCGTTCAAACCTGAAATACAATTTTATTTGTATAGAAATTAACATTACACATTGTGAGAATTTAAATGGATGAGTTAAGAATTGTTGTTAAAAATGATTCATCGACTGTTGATTAAAAGTGTTTCTGAAATAAATATTAACTATTTAGAATTTCAATCACCGCGGAGATAAGCGCGGTATTGTCCACAACTTCTGTAGCAGTTGTTTCAAGAGTATTGAATCACTACTGTTTGTTTATTTGGATCGCGATAAACGTGGTGAGAATTTTTATTAAGAAGAGGAAGAACAAAGTTGAACGTCCTAAGCACTCGACGTTGCTGTGTGTGAAGGTAGATTAGAATTCATAGAATATAATTCCCAGGAAGGGAATTAAAATTAAAATTAACCGGACTATAGACAATTGACTCTGTTCGTTCATTTTTCGAAACTAACATTACTGATTTTTCTTACGAAACCATTTCTTTTGCTGGTTTCTTGCGTCATACGGATTAAGAAACCCTGTATTAGAGAAACTCTGTGCAAGAAACCGTTTGACTCTTCATTTTTAACTGTTTCTTGTGTTTTAATATCAATTTACTCTATTCTCCAAAATTTGATAGACTTTAGGACACTCCAAATTCGATGATTTTTATATAATCGCATCAGAAGAGTATCTAACTCGACCTTAGTAATACGTCGTATAAGTTTGGCCTCGAACCAACAACCTGTACGTTTCTGCTTTTAATAATACTGAAAGCGTTCTTAATGCGATAAAAAACGATGGCGTCCAAGGTGTTGGACTTGGTGTGCTAAACCATTTTTATATCATCCCATTTGCGTTACGTATTGTGTTACGATCGGACCATTACGAGTATTCTCTCACCATTACTTCCCGGTCAATAAAAATGGAAAGTATCGTAATCGAGAAGAATTTCGAAATCATTTAGAAATAAATAAGTTCTTCGACAGTCCTCGGTGAGTTTGATTTACAGATATTTAACACACGTGACCGAGGCGTGCGTAAGAAACACGTCGATTATTTTAAAATTACTCGACGCACTTGCATGTCCGTTGCAATTGCATCGCGACGCCCTGTTCTTCTTGCAGAGAAGATTGCCTTGTCCAACTTTTACCGAGGACAAAATTCACCCTTGTGGGAAATTTATTCGAATCGATTCCCTTCGACTTGGGCTAATTTATGCGCAAGGTGAACGTCTCGTACTGTTATTAACTTTCGGATAAATTCGTTGAGCAAAACGAAAAAATTATTAATCCGACGATTTAAATCAGTCGACGTTTATTCTATGGTAGCGGTACTTTTTGTTTTGCTCGTTGGCGAATGGTTCCCTCCCGCCCCCGCTCGTTCGAAGCCTATCCTTAATGCAAATACGGAACCAGTTTCGACAGCTTGTTTCAACTTGAAAAAATTTAGAGAAAAAGAGACAAATATACGGTTCTCGTCCTCCCTTTCGGTCCGTCACGTGATTCGAAAGATGCTCGTTGTAGCTTGCACGATGTGATTTTCATATTCTGCGAAACACACGGTTGCTAATAATTAGTTCCTCTTCCTACGTCGAGTGATCTAGGAAAAGGACGTTTATTACTTTCGAGTTACGCAATGATCGTTGCCGAGGAAGTTTAACGCGTTTTGCTACGAATATACGGATAGCGCAACTTCGAGCAATACTTTCACCTACGCGAGCGCGTCTGCGCATGCCCCGTAGATCAGAGCACGCGAAGGGACCGATGTCAGACGGAATAAACAGTGTCGTTTGTCAACTTATCGAATACTTTGTCTATTCGACTACTTCCCGAATTTATTCGCGTTTCACGTAAATCGACAGTCGAATATTTGAAAGTTACGAAGAAAGTATTTCCGAGACGATACACATTGCGCAATACTGCCTTCGACAGGTTGCTGCACCTGTCTGTTTACCACAAATGCAACTGCAGAATCTAATATTATCGAAGGTTGAACAGTAACGTCCGTTAGTATCTGAATAGATATTTTCCAGTAAAATTTGTCGTTTCAACAGTACGTCACGTGCTCGGTGGTGTCCCAGAATGTTTCTCACTTTCTACTAATGCTAACTGCAGCGTCGATACGTAACGACCACAACAGCAAACACGGTACTTTCGACGAACAGTTTTGCAACCATTTATCGCAGAGAAAAGTGATTCACTGATTGGCAAAACACGAAGATTCTTAGAATACTTCAAGAATTACGAAATTATTTTATAATAATACTTTCTGTGAACATAATATCGATAGAATATCGGTCGAATTTGAGTGAAAAGAAATTCTACGCGAGAATAAATAATTTACTTACTTTCTAACTGTTCTATCGCCGAGGGAACGTAATGGTAGTCGCAGGTGAGATTCCTGAAGGAATTCCCCAGGTTCGTGATCTCGTCCGTCATCTTGGTCGCGTCGAAGCCCTCGATTTCGATCGTGTTCCTTCTTTCTCCGGCGGAATTCTGTCCAGCAGGGTTTGCAAGTCGGCGAAACGAACGTCGCGGTCTTGAGCGTTTTAAAAACGACGACAGAGCCGAGGCCCTCTCAGCCGGGAACAGTGAGAGTGTGTCCCCACTCAAGCTACCGCCGGATCACGATGTTGTAACGAATCGGTGAAAAAGAATCGGTATTGCCGCGATAAACCTTGTATCTCGTCGACGTTTGTCTTTTCCCCGGTTGGCACCCCCGTGCGACGATCGTTTTCGAATTTTTCTTGTTCCGGAGATACGAATATATATACAGATCTGCACGATCGCGGAAGAATCAACATTTACGGACGATCGTGTAGCCGGGAATGTTGATACCAGGAATTGTTTTGAACTCATGTGCATCGGTGTTCGCGTAGGTGAAAGTTTCCTCGGAAATAGAAGAATGTGTAAATTTGATTTGACGATAGCGAAGATCGATGCCGGACGATTAGAAAGGATTTTTTGTCAGGTGAGAAGATACGAAGATACGGAAACATGAAAAGACGTCGAAGTGTTGTTCAGAAAGGATTTTTGATGAATTGTAATAATAATTTGAATAAATTATGGAAATGAGAATATGGGAGTAGGTATACAGTATAATTGTTTGTGTAGAAAATATAATAATATAGGAAGGAAAAGTAAGTGTAAATATTTATTGATCTTGCATTGATATGGTAGAAATTCCTTTATGGTAACTCACCGATAAATGGAATATACCACCGCAGATGAGGTATACGAGTAGACCTTAGTAGATTTTAGCGATCAGTTGAGAGAATTATTCATTGAATTATCATTAATGGACAGACAGCTATAGTGTATTCATAAATACATGTGAGTTGACTATGAAAAGGATTGAAATTCATTTTTGTTTTCCTATAGAGATGAAGTTAGCAAGGGCGGTAGGTTCGATCCTCGGATCTGCTATACACGTACAATATAGCTTCACCCCTTTTTAAACGAAATAATTACTTGGTACAACTAAACTAGAAGATCGAAGTAACACTGCTTCCTTCTATCTTACTAGTTTAGTAATCTAGCTTCTAAAAATGTAAAATGGAGATCGATGGAACTTTGATTCCATCGATCTCCCTTCGGGTCTCCACTCGCAGCAACCTCCACGTGGTGAGACCTGGTAATCGGTGTCACGATATTCTTCGTGGATGACACCGAGCTAATGGCTGTGAATTTAGAATTGTTTCTTGATGTAAGAAACGAATTTAGATCTATAGCTAGGCAGGTGTTTGGTTGGGCATTATGTGAGGCAGGTTTTTTTATTTATTTCAAGACAAATTCTTTTGTAAATTCTTTTAACTCTCTTCGTTGGTTGTGCAGTTTTCATTGGTTGCAATTTCGTTTGTTTCTTCTTCGATCAACGATCGTTGATCACAGAAGATCTTTATTAATGGAAGGTGGTCCCATCAATACCCGTTATCCCGATCGCGGACAGTTAAATGGGCACCACTCTGCCTAATTCACTGTATATCTATATATATCAAGATGGCATATACGCCCAAGTTTGTCGTGGAATAGTTCGTTACCCCCAACGCTAGATGGCGCTTATTTACCGACCTTGTAGCCGTAATAAATTAGAACATATGTACGACTCTTTTGAATATCTGGAGAACTCTGAGTTTATTCTTATAACTACTTTTTCTTATAACAACCCTAACTTCAACCCTTTAATCGGTAAAGTAGAACTCAACCTCGCGACAGAAAACGCACCTGTCGCCACAACCTCAAGACCTCTGGTGCTAAAACGCCCAAGCTTGTCGAGAAATCCATCGCTTGATATATATAATTAATTGTCCGCGCTCGGGATAAGGAGCAAAGTAAACGGACAATTAAATGGTCATGTATGCAGTCACTTTATGTAGACACTACTACAGTTATTATAATAGTAAGAAACGTTAGACACTGTTTATTAATTAGACTGACGTACATATAGTCTCAAGTTAATGTGTATTATGCTTGACACGATTTGTTACAGTGTCAAGCTTATGTTAGCGGTGTGTTCTGACAGGAATAGGACTGTTTCTAGACATGTTTGGGCCTTTGGCGTTAATTGCGAAGCATTTATAAGTGATCTAAATTACCAAGTACTCTATTGTTATATGGTAGAAGGGTTGAGGAAGGGCTGATGTCTCAGAAACCTTTGACGCCCTACAGAAAAGTTGTCGAATACTTTATAATATAAGATATAAGTTAAGGAAGATATAATTACGAGTGTTGGTCGTTAATAATCTACGATGAAGTTGTATTTTTTGTTTCGTTTGGCAGCGCTGTCGCCTGGGGCAGCGATCCTTCCAGAGACAGGCAAATTGCGTTAACAGTTTTAGAGATGCTATCGATCAATTGCGATTCGATAGAGTCCTGATGCCCTAATAACAGAGCTCGCCTGAATTTCATTTCCTGGCATGTGCACGCGGCGATCGTGCACGATTTTCTCATCGCTTAGACGATAAGCATTGCACAACCACTTCCCGGCATTGAAGTCTCCGCGAATAGGATCTTAGGGTTCGACGCATTCGTACAGTGACATGAATGGTGCCCGAGGAAACAGTTAATTTAGCGATCTTTCTATAGATATTAATCAATCTTCTGTGTTACTTTTCAAATTCCGATACGTTCGAACGCGAATCTCATTTCACGGGGATCGGAGTATGGTTTCGAGACAACTATATGTTTAATCAATATCAAAAAATGCGTGATAATGAGGAGAGAAAGAAGTTGTACCCCTCCATTTGTTCCAACCACTCTGACTTCTCTGTTCGATGATTTCCTTTTAACACTCGGGCCATAAAATACCTCATAATTTTGTTTTCATAGTCTATCGAAATTTTCATTTAATTATTTTTAATATCAAACGCAAGTTAGTTATTTAATAGTTATTTGTTTTTACTGAATATTTACGATTAAATTTTACCAAACCAGAAATAAAATTATATTATTGGCAGTAATGAAAGTAAATGTTGACAAAAATTGAATCTCCATCGTGAATAAAATATGACAAGCCTCGTTTGGTTGAGACATCCTCTGCAATCCTCTCGCTAGATAAAAAACGATTTAAACGATGAATGCAGAATCAGAGAGAACGATTGTTCGATCATTATTGAATTCTTATTGAGAAAGGTCGCTGACTAGTCTTTCTCGCGACGTTAACGCGACCTCCAGATTGGAATGAGGCCAAAACGAAAATCAACGTCTCCCGGCGTAGGGTGAAAGTTGTTTTTGTCATTTCGATGTTCTAGATCATGATGGCTCCATGGCAGATTCTTCGTCGATTACGACACAATCTTAAATAACTTCCAAGCATTTCGGGCACGATCTATACTTTATTCGTCTCGTACAAATTAAATAAAACAAGAAATTCAATCAGTATCTCATGAAACAAAGCACAGAATACAATAATTATTTGCTTCTAATATATGGACAATTTTTAAGTACGTAAATCATAGTAGAATCATTATTTTTGATAGTATTTTATGTACAATATAAAAAATTGCTCTTTAACTAGAAAATATTGTAACATTCTTGCAATTCATGAGATTAAAGTAAACAACTTCCTACTTTGCACGGTAAATTGTAATAATTAATAAATTATCTCATGAAACAAAGCACAGAATGCAATTATTATTTGCTTCTAATATATGGACAATTTTTAAGTACGTAAATCATAGTAGAATCATTATTTTTGATAGTATTTTATGTACAATATAAAAAATTTGCTCTTTAACTAGAAAATATTGTTGTATTCTTGCAATTCGTGAGATTAAAGTAAACAATTTCCTACTTTGCACGGTAAATTGTAATAATTAATAAATTATCTCATGAAACAAAGCACAGAATGCAATTATTATTTGCTTCTAATATATGGACATTTTTTAAGTACGTAAATCATAGTAGAATTATTATTTTTGATAGTATTTTATGTACAACATAAAAAATTTGCTCTTTAACTAAAAAATATTGTTGTATTCTTGCAATTCATGAGATTAAAGTAAACAATTTCCTACTTTACACGGTAAATTGCAATAATTAATAAATTATCTCATGAAACAAAGCACAGAATGCAATTATTATTTGCTTCTAATATATGGACAATTTTTAAGTACGTAAATCATAGTAAAATTATTATTTTTGATAGTATTTTATGTACAATATAAAAAATTTGCTCTTTAACTAGAAAATATTGTTGTATTCTTGCAATTCGTGAGATTAAAGTAAACAACTTCCTACTTTGCACGGTAAATTGTAATAATTAATAAATTATCTCATGAAACAAAGCACAGAATGCAATTATTATTTGCTTCTAATATATAAACATTTTTTAAGTACGTAAATCATAGTAAAATTATTATTTTTGATAGTATTTTATGTACAATATAAAAAATTTGCTCTTTAACTAGAAAATATTGTTGTATTCTTGCAATTCGTGAGATTAAAGTAAACAACTTCCTACTTTGCACGGTAAATTGTAATAATTAATAAATTATCTCATGAAACAAAGCACAGAATGCAATTATTATTTGCTTCTAATATATAAACATTTTTTAAGTACGTAAATCATAGTAAAATTATTATTTTTGATAGTATTTTATGTACAATATAAAAAATTTGCTCTTTAACTAGAAAATATTGTTGTATTCTTGCAATTCGTGAGATTAAAGTAAACAACTTCCTACTTTGCACGGTAAATTGTAATAATTAATAAATTATCTCATGAAACAAAGCACAGAATGCAATAATTATTTCCTTCTATTATATAAACTTTTTTTAAGTACGTAAATCATAGTACAATTATTATTTTTCTACTTTATGTACAGTATAAAAAATTTGCTCTTCAACACTAGATTTACGGAATCCGTCAATTTGACGGATGTCTGGTTCCATATTTAAAATTGCAGATCACTTAAATACTATTTTTTAGCAACTTACGT